GGGGGGGGGGGGGGGGGGGGGAGACGAGAACTGTTGAGAATGAAATAAGTGTATTAAAGGCACTTCGTTTGATTTTTGATCAGTTAATATTCCTGTATTCGAATACCGTATTTTGTCATCTGTATTATTGAGTAATTTTATTTCCTTGATGTCACTTCAATTCTCTTTTCTTCTAATGTTTCAAAAAGTGGAATCGTTTGACTGTTATGCGTAAAATCATTATTCCTGATCCTGTATCCTGCTTTAAATTAATTTTATGGTCAGTGAGTCTTAATTGTTGAGATCTTGATGCGATTTTATCTTTTAATCACTGATTTATATTGCGGTATATCTGTCACACTCCATTTGTTTTGTCATTTCTACGAATATGACAGTTTCATAAAATGGGTACTGTGGAAGGGGTCGAATATGACAAACGCTAAAGTGATGGTAGTTTGAAGTCAGAAGTCAACTGCCGGTTAATAGATTTTTGCCGTATGAGTATACGTTGCCCAGGGTGCACCATGTGGAGGTAAGTCTATGACACACCCCGTTTCGCATACATAACTTCGTTTTAAGAAATAGGTTGACTCACGTACACCACACTGACTCAAAGTTCAAGCATTTTGCGCATTTTATATTCCTGGAATGATCCCACTCATTTCCAGTTGTTGGTGTCTTCCTACGAAATTTATATGTTTAAGCTTGCCAATCTTCAAGTGCATTCCTAGGTCCTATCCACCCTGCAAAGTTGTCAAGCCTGGGGTTTCTTAATGGACTGGTTTAACGATTGTCAATTAGCCAGGTATTAGGGGTTTAGTACCCCAACGGTTAAATCTGAGTAATATATTGTTTGAGAGAATTAAAATTCTTTCTAGAGAGGTCTCACAATTAGGCTCCTCTATTCGAGTTGGAGTGCATTTTCCTAAATTGGCTTTTCAATGTAAGTCAATTCAATTTGTCTCTCTTTGTCAAGGTCGACGATTTGCATCGATGATGTTAAATAAAACTGTGAAGGAAAAGACGAAACCAAAACGCCAAGCACAAGCACACAAACCTATTCTTATCCAAAAAGGCACTCCTCTGCCCAACAATGGAACATGCAAACACTATGGCAAGAGTTACCGTTGGCTGAAGTAAGTTATATGATAGTTGATTGCTTTTTTGCTTGATTATACCGATCTTTTAAACTGAAAGTGTTTTAACCCATTTATCCTCCAAAGTATCCTACAAATCCCACAATTCAGTCTTTACTCCAAAATTATGTTGTTTATAGTTTATCAACAAGTATGCAAAGATTGTAAACAATTTACAATGAGTTAGTAATTTGTTGGCCTTGATTGCAAGTTATTCATTATTATTTTCATCTTTCCGATCACTTAAATTTAGGGGATTTAATTTTATTTTCCAACTAAACTGCTGCCGTCTATTTTCGCAAAAGATTTGTTTGATCTTTTCATTTTAGAAACTTCTTTCACAAAATTAAGGCGGGTCGTGAGTAAAGCAGAAAGAGGTGTTATCTGTGGAAGTTAAATTTATAGGACAAATTGATGAGTCACTGCTTAGGGGATAACAGTTGATCTCCTTCAGACGTGACTTGATCTATTTTCTAGCAAATCTTCAACTTAGCGGACTCATCGTCACATGCATTCTCTTTAAAGCTCAAAATTATTCATTAGTGGGATTCAATTTTCCGATCACCCCTATTATAACAACCTATATCTGATAAACATTTCCTCCTGTCTTAAATGCGCGTTACAAAGCATGCGCCACATGTTTCCTTTCTCCTTAATGGTGAATTGTTTGTTAAAATCGTAACAGTCAGGCCCCAGTAAACATACCTCCGTTTTTAATCAAGCCGGCTATGAGGTGGGGTTTCAGGTATGCTTAGTAGCTTAATATGCGTCGGTGTCGTAGTGCTCCATATGGGTGTCTGCCAAGTCCGAGACTACGAGATCTCACATCCTCTGCTCAACCCGAGTGAGAGAATTCTATTCACTTAATTCCGTGTTTTCTTTTGAAATGAAGTCATTCTTTGCAGTAGAGTTTAGAATTATGTTTGATTTTGCTTTATTAATTTGATAATAATTAGTGTTCTTATTAGTGATATCAAAAGTGATACTCAACTTTCCTGAAGGGAGATTACAAAGTGTAAATTTTCGCGGTTGGTTGTGACATTTGAAGTAATTTTGTGTTTGATTGTCAATTGGCTTTAACGGTGTTTGGGGAGTTTTCTTACAAAATATCATTTACGTTCTTATCCATTTTATAATCTACAGCTGACATAATAGGAAGTATAAATCGGCTATTGGTTTCTTAAAGGTGGTACTACCCATCGTTATAAGTGGCCTCTGTGCAAACTCTTCACAACGTGGCTCCATGATAATGAAGTTCTAAATTCATGTTAATCGCGAATTTCGAGAGAGTGGACGTCGCAGGCTCTAGATTTAAAATAAGTTCATTCAGAGACGTGTTGAAAATACTTGACTTGTTAAATTGGTGTGATGTGAAATATGCATAGAAGACCTCAGGTGGATCACATCCTTGTTTGTTCAAATTATAATATGCTGTAAAATTGTAGATGTGTAGATCAATACAAATGTGGGATAGCTATCCATATCGAACTATTCGCTGTTCAGAATCTAGGTGTTAAGGCCAACACGTTGTTTATCCTGGAACGGTTCTTACTAGGAGATTCACCAGTGTAGTTGGCCATCTACATCTTTTTTTGCGAGTACTGGTGATAATCAATCTCATTACTCCAAGCTTAACGGACGTATTCGTTGGCCATTGATAATCTCTTATTCGTTTTTTACCCAACTATTTACTATGTTGTATTATTGTAGATTCCCCTGTTGCCAACGCGCCTTTCCCTGTGACACCTGTCATGACATAGAAGTGGCTGGTACTCATGAAACTCTACGTGCCAATCGTACAATCTGCGGTTTCTGCTCCACCGAGCAACCCTGTCAAAGTGGTTCTGGGGGAGTTGTTTGTGTGTCCTGTGGAAAGAGTATGATCGCTTCATCCTCAGGTAGTCACTGGGAAGGCGGACGGGGATGTCGTGATCCGATCAAAATGTCGCGAAAAGATAACCGCAAACGTCGTTTAAAATAAAAGTTTCTATGATGTATGATGGCTATTGGGCTGACTTATCAATGCATATACATTGTCTATAAAGAATCGGTTGGGGGGAATAGACTACTTTCAAGCAGGACTCAAAAAATTTTAAACTTCTTTCAAGTTACTAAAACATCATTGGACAAGGGTAGTAATGGAATATATGTGATGAAAGAGAAAGTAACCATGCAGAGCTTAGTACGTCACAAATAGCTGGAGATTGAAATGAAAATCACTCTTGGAGTGTGGGAAGTGGAATGCTTAGGAAGGTGGGTTGAACTGACACGGTTTTGTGCGAATCGTAAGGCTGGTCTTTGCGTGAGACGAATACGCGATATTCATCGGAATTACATAGCAGAAAAGTCACATAAGGGAAATGTCATTTATCGTCGGTGTCGCGGTGTTCAACTATTTCGATGTTATGGTCCACAGTTCTAAAATGTCGGTTCGAATACCGGTATCCTAAATTATCACCTTTAGGGAAACATTTGATATGATGCAGGCGATTGACTTGTTAACTGCTTCTTTTACTAGATTTTATTCCCAGTCACGAGTGAAAAATTCCGGTATTGGACACGATCATCCATTATGGGGATCCGCTCAAGTGTAAGGCACTTGTCAATTATGCACCGGAATAAAGGAGGAAGTTTATGGAAAATGAGCCACTAATCACACCGTAGTAAATATCGAAATTGGACATGGTACGCAAGTCGGGTTACATATCTACTTTACAATTTAAACTTGGCAGGCAAAAGTTGGAGGCAATCGTTACGTCGGTTAGCCTTGCATTCTCTAAACATTTATTTCAAATGGCAGGCGTTGTGATAGGTATCATTAGCCCTTTAGTTGACTTCGGGCTTCACAGAAGAGAAGATGAACATCCAACTGGTAAAAAGTCGAGAGGGGGACAGAATAGTGATTCACAGACGTAAAAGAGACAGACAGACACAAAGGTAGAAAAAAGGTGAGGTGAATACTGTGGAATTATTTGAATATGAAATGTAATGGGGTCATGGTAGTTTGAAGTCAGAAGTCAACTGCCGATTAATAGTCTTTTTTGCCGTATGAGTATATGTTGCCCAGGGTGCACCACGTGGAGGTAAGTCTGTCGCACACCCCACATTCTCTAAACATAGTCAACGATAATTGTACGAAAAACAAACGAATTCAAAAACCTTATCCATTCTTTCATTATTCACAAATAGGCTGTTCCAGTTCTGCTGAAAAGCTACCTATTCCCTCTAACTGAGTATTTATAAATATAATACGATTCTTTTAAATGTTTGATTAATAATTTACCTTTTTATATTTTAAAGGCAATGTTGGATAACACCTAAAAGGTATCATCATTTCACTCAATTTATAAAAGTGTGGGCAAATTTACGTGCATATATATCTGTGATTCGATCGTACTATGAGATAAATCGAATCGATAGTCTGGTGACAACACCGAACTATTTTTGGTATAGCAGTGATTTGGATTTTCCTTTTAGCATATTCGAAGTTTGAATTTGATAAATCATCGATAGTTTAAAAAATGTCCCATCTACTATCTGTAATGCCCAAATGATGGTGATATTTTCTCTCCGAGATTAAGTAAGCGTGATATTTCAGAATGCATTTGACAGGAAGAATTCTTCTGTCTAAGGACAGTAAGTATAGAAGGCGAAGAAACTATTTGACGAGGCAGAGTGAACTTTTGTTTAAAATATCGTTATCGCTACGAAACCAGAAAATTGTTGACGTCAACGAATCGATGGCATATGAAATCTCTTCAATACTAGATTTACAAAACCATTAGAGCATATTGCATAAAAGCTGATTAGAATTGCGATCCACCGAGTCCAACTTATGAGAAAAGTTGATGTAGCCATTTTTCTCGGGAACAGATAACAAATTACTTGATCAGGTAGTAGGATTCATTCTCAGGCAGCTTGGAGATGGTGTTTGTAAACTGTGCTACGACGTTGTCTGTTAGTGAGACGGTGGCATACGGAAACCACGTACTTGGTTGATAAGGCCACGTAATTTGAGCATATTTTCTAATTGTAATAACCAGATGTAAGCACAATCTGGGTCGAAAGTGGGATAACTGGGTGGGAACCCAATGCGCTCACGACGAGATCTGCCTCTTGATACAATCTGAGCGAATAGAAGAGGATGAAAGAAGAGAACCGTGGAAATAGTGATTGTTATTAGAGGAGTACGAGGATCATCAAGTGTGATGTGCGATATAAAAAGAAATCGCAGCGTCAGTAACAGATTAAGTCTCGGCTTATCAGATCACTTCAGGCCTAGCAGATCATGCCTGAATAAAAAATTTGTAGCTAGTTGACTATTCTCAGTAATCTCTACGGTATGTTCTCCTGGACTTGAACTTTTGCAATGATAAAGAAGAGAAAGACGCATTATGAGTGAAGCGTTTATAAAATTTATGGTATCATTAAACACAATTAATTAACCCAAACGTCTAAGATAATTTGAATGAACTTTAATAACTGACTCTCTGAGCAGTCCTCTGAGAGCACGCCCTAATTCTTCAGAATGTTCGAGTGTGAGATTTTATAGTATGAGGATTTATTTACTCCACAGGTCACTAAGCTCGATTGCGAAGACATCATTATCTGTTACGATGAACGGTAGTAAAGTGAAGTTACTTTGGAGCAAAGACGTCTTTCGTGTAAGGCTACAAAGAATAACAAGTTTGAAAGAAAATTATATTGAATCTTTTCATAACGAGGAAATGCTCTGAGTATATGTCCTAAAAGAGCACGTTCCTTTTATACACAAAATGTATTGCTGGGATTAAAATTAAAAGTGAAAATGAAATTACATT